GCAATTCGACGGGATGCTCCATAGACCTCCCCGTCGAACTGTAGGTCGACGGACTGCTTCGTCGACCTCCCGGACGGCTCACCCGTCGCCCAGGCCAGTCAGGTGCAGCTGTCAAGCATCCTGGTCGACAGCAACACCACAGTGGTCCGCTGCAGCTCGACGTAACCTGTCGAGCAGCTATCCCACGGTGAGCAGTCGGCTACTACTTCCGTACATCCGACCAAGTTGTCGGCGTTGCCCAAGCGAGGGCGGGGCCAACACTTCATTCCCGTTAACAACCTTCACACTGGACTCAGGTGCTTCCCGCCGTTTCTTTCGCGACCGCACTGCCCTAGAGCAACTCCCTAGACCGGTTGCTGTCTCTCTGGCTGACCCCTCAGGGGGTCCGGTCCTTGCGACCTCCACCACTGCCCTCCCTTGTCCTGCTGTCCCGTCTGGCACGCTGTCGGGCCTCTACCTCCCCTCGTTCTCTACGAACTTGGTGGCGGGTTCCGCGCTCCAGGACGCGGGTGTTCACCAGTTCACCCCGGCCTACGAGCGTGTGACGCACTGCACGTGTGCCTGGACGGGCCGCCACCTAGCTACCTTTACTCGGCAGCCGGGGTCGGACTTGTACACCCTGACCACTGAGTCCCCTCAGGTAGCTGCGTCTGCGTCTGCGTCAGGTCAGCTGTCGGCCCCCTGCTCGTGTCGCTCCCTGTCGCACAGGACGGTCCTCTGGCACCACCGCCTTGGACACCCGTTAGTGCAGCGCCTTCGCGGCATGCACTCCAGGTTCCTTGTCTCTGGTCTTCCCAGAGTTCTCCCTCCCCTCCCACCCTCGCCTGCTCCTCCCTGTCTTCCCTGTGTCCACGGGCGGCAATGTGCCGCTCCTCACTCCTCCTCGTTCCCTCCCACAGAGGCTCCCCTGCAGACTCTTCACCTGGACGTGTGGGGCCCCGCCCGTGTCCGGGGACAGGGCCACGAGCGGTACTTTCTGCTGGTCGTCGACGACTACACGCGCTACACCACAGTCTTCCCCTTGCGTACCAAGGGTGAGGTCCCTGATGTCTTGATCCCTTGGATCCGTGCTGCTCGTCTCCAGCTCCGCCAGCGGTTCCAGTCGGACTTTCCTGTCCTACGTCTGCACTCTGACAGAGGTGGCGAGTTTTCCTCTGACCTCTTGGCAGCCTACTGTGCTGAGCACGGCATCCGCCAGACGCTCACTCTCCCGGCCTCTCCGCAGCAGAATGGGGCTGCTGAGCGCCGCATTGGTCTTGTCATGGAGGTCGCTCGTACCTCCATGATCCATGCGGCTGCCCCCTATTTCCTGTGGCCGTTTGCAGTGTAGTACGCCGCGCATCAGCTCAACCTCTGGCCCCGTGTCTCCGTTCCGGAGACCTCGCCTACCCTGCGTTGGTCGGGGGACGTTGGCGACGCGTTGGTGTTCCGAGTCTGGGGATGTCGAGCCTTTGTCCGCGACACGTCCGCGGACAAACTCTCCTCCCGTGGAGTTCCCTGTGTCTTCCTGGGCTTTGTCCCTGATGCGCCTGGCTGGCGGTTTTACCACCCCACCTCGCGCCGTGTCTTCGCCTCTCAGGACGTCACCTTCGACGAGTCGGTACCCTTTTACCGTCTCTTCCCCTACCGCACTGCCCCGCTCCCCCCCCCGCCGCTTTTCCTCACCCCAGGTGTCCCGTCGGTAGACCCCCTCCCTCCTCACGGTGCTGCTCCCTCAGGTGTTTCCCAGGTAGACCCGGTCGAGCGTGTCGAGGTAGCTGTTGACTCGGGTCCTGTGCGAGGTACTGAGTGTGCTGAGCCTGGTGGTGCTGGGTCTGGGGGCACTGAGACTAGGGGTGCTGAGCCTGGGGGTGCGGAGACTAGAGGTGCTGGGCCTGGGGGTGCTGAGACTTTGGGTGCTGAGCCTGGAGGTGCTGAGACTGGGGGTGCTGTGACTGGGGGCACTGAGACTGGAGGTGCTGAGACTGGGGGTGCTGAGACTGGGGGTGCTGAGCCTGGTGGCGCTCCCTCCTCACAGCAGCTGCGTGAGTGGTACTCTCAGCGCTACAGCCTTCGTCGTGGCGCTGCTAGAGCTGGGGAGTCTGCTGGCGTCGGGGCTGGTGGCCTCGCAGGTGCAGTGTCGCAGCCAGAGCCTCCCTGCCCTCAGCGGCTACGTGAGTGGTACGCTCGGCGCTGTAGCCTCAGGAGTGGAGCTCCTAGCGTTGAGGTACCGCCTGCTGGAGGTTTTGCTAACCCTGGTTCTGCTGGAGGTGCTGCTGGTGCTACTGGAGGTCCTAGAGGTACTGCTGGTACTGCTGGAGGTCCTGGAGCGGCTGGAGGTGCTGCTGGTGCTGCTGGACGCCCTAGAGCTATTGGAGGTGCTGCTGGTGCTATCTCTGCTCCTTCTGGGGGCGCTTCACGGCCGCGGCCGTACTTTGTTCCGCTCCTTCAGCAGGTTCTTGGTCAGCCGCCTCCTCCTAGTCCTCCTCCCTCCTTAGAGTGTCCTCCGCCTGTCCAGTCACAGTCCCTGCTCCCGCCTGCCTCGCCACTTCCTGGTCCTTCTCCCTACACTGGTCCGACAGGCGGTCTTACAGAGCGTTGTGAGCCTGAGTCTCGTCCTGTGTCGCCTGTGTCACCTGCTTGTGCTACTCGCACTGGTCGCCGTGGTCCGAGTGAGCGTCCTCCACCTGTGCCTGGCACACACTTTATGACTCTGCGTCCTTCCACTCCTCCACAACGTGTCCCTCTGCCGTCTACTCCTGAGTCCTCTCTTCCTGTCCTTGCTGACCGTGAGTCTGACTCTCTTCGTGCTGCCAGTCCTACTCTCACGCGTCTCCTAGCCACTGCTGTCACAGACCCTTCCTTTGAGTCTGCTGCTGCGTCTGCCCTAGTTGCTGAGCTTGTCGACTTTGCTGCTCACTATCGTCTAGACTACGCTGCCAGTCTTGTTGCTGAGTCATAGTCTGTCTGTCCTCCGTCCATCGGGGGTGAGTGTGCTCTAGGCACGGACGTCCTTGAGGACAGACAGGAGGACCTTGAGTGTCTTGCAGCCGCTGCGCCTCATCTCGTGTCCATGCTGATTGCCCCTGAGGGAGACCCGGATGCTCCAGACATCACGACCCCGCGCTCTTACGCTGAGGCGATCGCGGGTGAGTGCTCCTCTCAGTGGCAGTCAGCCATGGATGCAGAGATGGCATCCTAGAAGTCCACTGACACTTACGTTGACGAGGTTCCCCCACCTGGGGCGAACATCGTCAGTGGCATGTGGATTTTCAGGGTGAAGCGGTTGCCGGGTTCTCCGCCTGTCTTCATGGCTCGTTACGTGGCTCGAGGCTTCAGTCAGCGACAGGGAGTAAACTTCTTTCAGACCTTCTCTCCCACACCGAAGATGACCACTCTTCGGGTGCTACTGCACGTTGCTGCTCAGCGTGACTACGAACTTCACTCTCTTGACTTCAGCACAGCTTTCTTGCAGGGCAGCGTGCACGAGGAGATCTGGCTGCGCCGCCCTCCTGGCTTCACTGGGTTGTTTCCTCCTGGTACCCAATGGAGCCTCCGGCGGCCAGTCTACGGTCTCCGCCAGGCGCCACGTGAGTGGCACGACACACTGAGGACTACTCTTGCGGCACTTGGGTTTGCGCCCTCTACTGCTAACCCGTCGTTGTTTCTGCGCACTGACACTTCGCTGTCGCCGTTCTACATCCTTATGTACGTCGAAGACTTGGTCTTTGCCACTGCTGACACTAATACTCTCGCCCACGTGAAGTTGGAGCTGCAGAAGAGACACACGTACACAGACCTGGGTGAACTGCGCAGCTACCTTGGCTTGCAGATCACCCGGGACAGAGCACGCCGCACCATTACACTGACTCAGTCACACATGGTGCAGCAGGTCTTTCAGCGCTTCGGCTTCACCTGGTCCTCAGCACACGCCACTCCTCTGGCTATAGGTCACTCGCTCTCAGCTCTGCCTTCGGATGATCCGTAGAGCCGAGTGGTCCTTACCCAGAGCTAGTTGGTTGCCTCATGTACCTGATGACTTGCACTCGTCCTGACCTAGCATACCCTCTTGGCCTTCTGGCACGCTACGTGGCTCATGGCAGGCACCGAAAGGTGCACTGGGATGCTGCAAAGAGGGTATTGCGCTACTTGTGTAGTAGATCGGGCATGGGGCTCGTGCTTGGAGGAGGGAGCTCAGTTGTTCTCCCTGGGCACTCTGACGCTTCTTGGGTTGACGACCAGGCTACTCAGCGGTCGTCACAAGGTTACACCTTCAACCTGGGCTCTGGTTCAGTTTCTTGGCATTCTACTCGCTCGTCTTCTGTAATCAGCTCCAGTTGTGAGGCTGAGATCTATGCCACAGCCATGGCTGAACAGGAGCTACGCTGGCTCACCTACCTGCTGACCGACTTGGGAGAGCGGCCTAGTTCTCCTCCAGTGCTGTACGTCGACAACAAGGCTGCCATTGCTTTGTGTGAGGAGCACAGACTGGAGCACAGAATGAAGCACATCGCACTCCGTTACTTCTTGGCTGAAGAGGTGCAGCAGCGCGGTCATCTTCGTCTGCGCTACGTGGCCACTCAGGCGAACACCGCTGATATCTTCACCAAGGCACTCCAGTCAGGTGATCATCAGCGTTTATGTACTTTGCTTGGGCTTGTACCCACTTTTCCTCACTTGCTGTAGGCTTTGCCTGTACTGTGATCTCTATATATACATACGTGCCTGTTTGCTTTGCTAGGTTGCAATCACCTTGTTGTTTGTACTGCATATATGCCTCTTCATGTGAACTGGCCCACAGGCCCTTTGCTTGTGCTCAGAGTGTGTGGTGACGTTGTGATCCACCCTGAGCTTGTTTACCTTTCTTGACTGGTCTTGTGACCCCTAGCTCTCCCCCACTTTGCCTATGGGGGTGTGTCAAAAACTATATATGTGTTATTGCTGTGTAGGCTATAGTGGGTTAGCCTATAGGGGGTACACAACTCTTAGGGTTTCATACTTGTACTCAAATGTTGCCTAGTTCATTCACTTTTCTCATTTTGACAGATGGAAAGCGGAAGAATGGGGCGGGGTGAAGGAAAGCGGGAGAAGGGGGCGGGGTGATGGAAAGTGGGAGAATGGGGCGGGGTGAAGGAATGCGAAAGAAGGGGGCGGAGTGATGGAAAGCGGGAGAATGGGGTGGGGTGATGAAAAGCGGGAGAATGAGGCGGGGTGATGGAAAGCATGAGAATGGGGCGGGGTGATGGAAAGACGAGAATGGGGCGGGGTGATGGAAGGAGGGAGAATGGGGCGGGGTGATGGAAAGCGGGAGAATGGGGTGGGGTGATGGAAAGCGGGAGAATGGGGCGGGGTGATTGAAAGTGGGAGAATGGGGCGGGGTGATGTGATGGAAAGCGGGACAATGGGGCAGGGTGATGGAAAGCGGGAGAACGGGGCGGGGTGATGGAAAGCGGGAGAACGGGGCGGGGTGATGAAAAGCGGGAGAATGTGGCGGGGTGATGGAAAGCGGGAGAATGGGGTGGGTGATCGAAAGCAGGAGAATGGAGCGGGGTGATGGAAAGCGGGAGAATGGGGCGGGGTGATGAAAAGCTTGAGAATGGGGCGGGGTGATGGAAAGCGGGAGAATGGGGCGGGGTGATGGAAAGCGGGAGAATGGGGCAGGGTGATGGAAAGCGGGAGAATGGGGCGGGGTGATGGAAAGCGGGAGAATGGGGCGGGGTGATGGAAAGCGGGAGAATGGGGCGGGGTGATGGAAAGAGGAAGAATGGGACGGGGTGATGGAAAGTGGAAGAATGGGGCAAGGTGATGGAAAGCGAGAGAATGGGGCGGGGTGATGGAAAGCGGGAGAATGGGGCGGGGTGATGGAAAGCGGGAGAATGGGGCGGGTTGATGGAAAGCGGGAGAATGGGGGGGATGATGGAAAGCGGGAGAATGGGGCGGGGTGATGGAAAGCGGGAGAATGGGGCGGGGTGATGGAAGGATGGAGAATGGAGCGAGGTGATGGAAAGCGGAAGAATGGGGCGGGGTGATGGAAAGCGGGAGAATGGGGCGGGGTGATGGAAAGCGGGAGAGTGGGGCGGGGTGATGGAAAGCGGGAGAATGGGGCGGGGTGATGGAAAGTGGGAGAATGGGGCGGGGTGATGGAATGCGAAAGAAGGGGGCAGGGTGATGGAAAGCGGAAGAATGGGGCGGGGTGATGGAAAGCGGGAAAATGGGGCAGGGTGATGGAAAGCGGGAGAATGAGGCGGGGTGATGGAAAGCGTGAGAATGGGGCGGGGTGATGGAAAGCGGGAGAATGGGGCGGAGTGATGGAAGGAGGGAGAATGGGGCGGGGTGATGGAAAGCGGGAGAATGGGGCGGGGTGATGGAAAGCGGGAGAAGGGGGCGGGGTGATGGAAAGCGGGAGAAGGGGGCGGGGTGATGGAAAGCGGAAGAATGGGGTGGGTGATCGAAAGCAGGAGAATGGAGCGGGGTGATGGAAATCGGGAGAATGGGGCGCGGTGATGGAAAGCGGGAGAATGGGGCGGGGTGATGGAAAGAGGGAGAATGGGGCGGGGTGATGGAAAGAGGGAGAATGGGACGGGGTGATGGAAACCGGGAGAATGGGGCAGGGTGATGGAAAGCGGGAGAATGGGGCGGGGTGATGGAAAGCGGGAGAATGGGGCGGGGTGAAGGAATGCGAAAAAAGGGGGCGGAGTGATGGAAAGCGGGAGAATGGGGTGGGGTGATAAAAAGCGGGAGAATGAGGCGGGGTGATGGAAAGCGTGAGAATGGGGCGGGGTGATGGAAAGCGCGAGAATGGGGCGGGGTGATGGAAGGAGGGAGAATGGGGCGCGGTGATGGAAAGCGGGAGAATGGGACTGGGTGATGGAGAGCGGGAGAATGGGGCGGGGTGATGGAAAGCGGGAGAATGGGGCAGGGTGATGGAAAGCGGGAGAATGGGGCGGGGTGATGGAAAGCGGGAGAATGGGGCGGGGTGATGGAAAGCGGGAGAATGGGGCGGGGTGATGGAAAGAGGAAGAATGGGACGGGGTGATGGAAAGCGGGAGAATGGGGCGGGGTGATGGAAAGTGGAAGAATGGGGCAAGGTGATGGAAAGCGAGAGAATGGGGCGGGGTGATGGAAAGCGGGAGAATGGGGCGGGGTGATGGAAAGCGGGAGAATGATGCGGGTTGATGGAAAGCGGGAGAATGGGGGGGATGATGGAAAGCGGGAGAATGGGGCGGGGTGATGGAAAGCGGGAGAATGGGGCGGGGTGATGGAAGGATGGAGAATGGAGCGAGGTGATGGAAAGCGGAAGAATGGGGCGGGGTGATGGAAAGTGGGAGAATGGGGCGGGGTGATGGAATGCGAAAGAAGGGGGCAGGGTGATGGAAAGCGGAAGAATGGGGCAGGGTGATGGAAAGCGGGAAAATGGGGCAGGGTGATGGAAAGCGGGAGAATAGGCGGGGTGATGGAAAGCGTGAGAATGGGGCGGGGTGATGGAAAGCGGGAGAATGGGGCGGAGTGATGGAAGGAGGGAGAATGGGGCGGGGTGACGGAAAGCGGGAGAATGGGGCGGGGTGATGGAAAGCGGGAGAAGGGGGCGGGGTGATGGAAAGCGGGAGAATGGGGCGGGGTGATGGAAAGCGGGAGAAGGGGGCGGGGTGATGAAAAGCGGGAGAAGGGGGCGGGGTGATGGAAAGCGGGAGAATAGGGCGGGGTGATAGAAATCGGGAGAATGGGGCGCGGTGATGGAAAGTGGGAGAATGGGGCGGGATGATGGAAAGAGGGAGAATGGGGCGGGGTGATGGAAAGAGGGAGAATGGGACGGGGTGATGGAAAGCGGGAGAATGGGGCAGGGTGATGGAAAGCGGGAGAATGGGGCGGGGTGATGGAAAGCGGGAGAATGGGGCGGGATGATGAAAACCGGGAGAATGGGGCGGGGTGATGGAAAGCGGGTGAATGTGGCGGGGTGATGGAAAGCGGGAGAATGGGGTGGGTGATCGAAAGCGGGAGAATGGGGCGGGGTGATAGAAAGCGGGAGAATGGGGCGGGGTGATGGAAGGGTGAAGAATGGGGCGGGATGATGGAAAGCGGGAGAGGGGTGATGGAAAGCGGGAGAATGGGGCGGGGTGATGGAAAGCGGGAGAATGGGGCGGGGTGATGGAAAGCGGGAGAATGGGGCGGGGTGATGGAAAGCGGGAGAACGGGGCGGGGTGATGGAAAGCGGAAGAATGTGGCGGGGTGATAGAAAGCGGGAGAATGGGGTGGGTGATCGAAAGCGGGAGAATGGGGCGGGGTGATCGAAAGTGGGAGAATGGGGTGGGGTGATGGAATGCTTGAGAATGGGGCGGGGTGATGGAAAGCAGGAGAATGAGGCGGGGTGATAGAAAGTGGGACAATGGGGTGGGGTGATGGAAAGCCGGAGAATGGGGCGGGGTGATGGAAAGCGGGAGAATGGGGCGGGGTGATGGAAAGCGGGAGAATGGGGTGGGGTGATGGAAAGCGGGAGAATGGAGCGGGGTGATGGAAAGCGGGAGAATGAAGCGGGGTGATGGAAAGCGGGAGAATGGGGCGGGGTGATGGTAAGCGGGAGAATGAGGCGGGGTGATGAAAAGCGTGAGAATGGGGCGGGGTGATGGAAAGAGGGAGAATAGGGCGGGGTGATGGAAAGCGGTAGAATGGGGCAGGGTCATGGAAAGCGGGAGAATGGGGCGGGGTGATGGAAAGCGGGAGAATGGGGCGGGGTGATGCAAAGCAGGAGAATGTGGCGGGGTGATGGAAAGCGGGAGAATGGGGTGGTTGATCGAAAGCGGGAGAATGTGGCGGGGTGATGGAAAGCGGGAGAATGGGGCGGGGTGATGAAAGGAGGGAGAATGGGGCGGGGTGATGGAAAGCGGGAGAATGGGGCAGGGTGATGGAAAGCGGGAGAATAGGGCGGGGTGATGGAAAGCGGGAGAATGGGGCGGGGTGATGGAACGCGGGAGAAGGGGGCGGGGTGATGGAAAGCGGGAGAATGGGGCGGGGTGATGGAATGCGAAAGAAGGGGGCGGGGTGATGGAAAGCGGGAGAATGGGGCGGGGTGATGGAAAGAGGGAGAATGGGGCGGGGTGATGGAAAGCGGGAAAATGGGGTGAGGTGATGGAAAGCGGGAGAATGTGGCCGGGTGATGGAAAGCGGGAGAATGGGGTGGGTGATTGAAAGCGGGAGAACGGGGCGGAGTGATGGAAAGCGGAAGGATGGGGCGGGGTGATGGAAAGCGCGAGAAAGGGGCGGGGTGAAGGAAAGCGGGAGAATGGGGCAGCATGATGGAAAGCGGGAGAAGGGGGCGGGGTGATGGAAAGCGGTAGAATGGGGCGGGGTGATGGAAAGCGGGATAATGGGGCGGGGTGATGGAAAGCGGGAGAATGGGGCGGGGTGATGGAAAAAGGGAGAATGGGGCGGGGTGATGGAAAGCGGGAGAATGGGGCGGGGTGATGGAAAGCGGGAGAATGGGGCGGGGTGATGGAAAGCGGGAGAATGTGACGGGGTGATGGAAAGAGGGAGAATGGGGCGGGGTGATGGAAAGCGGGAGAATGGGGCGGGGTGATGGAAAGCGGGAAAATGGGGCGGGATGATGGAAAGCGGGAGAATGTGACGGGGTGATGGAAAGCGAGAGAATGGGGTGGGTGATCGAAAGCGGGAGAATGGGGCGGCGTGATGGAAAGCGGGAGAATGGGGCGGGGTGATGGATAGCGGGAGAATGGGGCGGGGTGATGGAAAGCGGGAGAATGGGGCGGGGTGATGGAAGGAGGGAGAATGGGGCGCGGTGATGGAAAGCAAGAGAATGGGGCGGCGTGATGGAAAGCGGGAGAATGGGGCGGGGTGATGGAAAGCGGGAGAATGGGGCGGGGTGATGGAAAGCGGGAGAAGGGGGCGGGGTGATGGAAAGCGGGAGAATGGGGCGGGGTGACAGAATGCGAAAGAAGGGGGAAGGGTGATGGAAAGAGGGAGAATGAGGCGGGGTGATGGAAAGCAGGAGAATGGGTCGGGGTGATAGAAAGCGGGAAAATAGGGCAGGGCGATGGAAAGCGGGAGAATGGAGAGGGGTGATGGAAAGCGGGAGAATGGGGCGGGGTGATGAAAAACGGGAGAATGGGGCGGGGTGATGGAAAGCGGGAGAATGGGGCGGGGTGATGGAAAGCGGGAGAATAGGGCGGGGTGATGGAAAGCGGGAGAATGGGGCGGGGTGATGGAACGCGGGAGAAGGGGGCGGGGTGATGGAAAGCGGGAGAATGGGGCGGGGTGATGGAATGCAAAAGAAGGGGGCGGGGTGATGGAAAGCGGGAGAATGGGGCGGGGTGATGGAAAGAGGGAGAATGGGGCGGGGTGATGGAAAGCGGGAAAATGGGGTGAGGTGATGGAAAGTGGGAGAATGTGGCCGGGTGATGGAAAGCGGGAGAATGGGGTGGGTGATTGAAAGTGGGAGAACGGGGCGGAGTGATGGAAAGCGGAAGGATGGGGCGGGGTGATGGAAAGCGCGAGAAAGGGGCGGGGTGAAGGAAAGCGGGAAAATGAGGCGGGGTGATGGAAAGCGGGACAATGGGGCGGGGTGATGGAAAGCAGGAGAATGGGGCAGCATGATGGAAAGCGGGAGAAGGGGGCGGGGTGATGGAAAGCGGTAGAATGGGGCGGGGTGATGGAAAGCGGGAGAATGGGGCGGGGTGATGGAAAGCGGGAGAATGGGGCGGGGTGATGGAAAGAGGGAGAATGGGGCGGGGTGATGGAAAGCGGTTGAATGGGGCGGGGTGATGGAAAGCGGGAGAATGGGGCGGGGTGATGGAAAGCGGGAGAATGGGGCGGGGTGATGGAAAGCGGGAAAATGGGGCGGGATGATGGAAAGCGGGAGAATGTGACGGGGTGATGGAAAGCGAGAGAATGGGGTGGGTGATCGAAAGCGGGAGAATGGGGCGGCGTGATGGAAAGCGGGAGAATGGGGCGGGGTGATGGATAGCGGGAGAATGGGGCGGGGTGATGGAAAGCGGGAGAATGGGGCGGGGTGATGGAAGGAGGGAGAATGGGGCGCGGTGATGGAAAGCAAGAGAATGGGGCGGTGTGATGGAAAGCGGGAGAATGGGGCGGGGTGATGGAAAGCGGGAGAATGGGGCGGGGTGATGGAAAGCGGGTGAAGGGGGCGGGGTGATGGAAAGCGGGAGAATGGGGCGGGGTGACAGAATGCGAAAGAAGGGGGCGGGGTGATGGAAAGAGGGAGAATGAGGCGGGGTGATGGAAAGCAGGAGAATGGGTCGGGGTGATAGAAAGCGGGAAAATGGGGCAGGGCGATGGAAAGCGGGAGAATGGAGAGGGGTGATGGAAAGCGGGAGAATGGGGCGGGGTGATGAAAAACGGGAGAATGGGGCGGGGTGATGGAAAGCGGGAGAATGGGGCGGGGTGATGGAAAGCGGGAGAAGTGGGCGGGGTGATGGAAAGCGGGAGAAGGGGGCGGGGTGATTGAAAGCTTGAGAACGGGGCGGGGTGATGGAAAGCGGGAGAATGGGGCGGGGTGATGGAAAGCTTAAGAATGGGGCGGGGTGATGGAAAGCGGGAGAATGAGGCAGGGTGATGGAAAGCGGGAGAATGGGGCAGGGTGATGGAAAGCGGGAGAATGAAGCAAGGTGCTGGAAAGCGGGAGAATGAGGTAGGGTGATGGAAAGCATGAGAATGGGGCGGGGTGATGGAAAGCGGGAGAAGGGGGCGGGGTGATGGAAAGCGGGAGAATGGGGCGGGGTGATGGAATGCGAAAGAAGGGGGCGGGGTGATGGAAAGAGGGAGAATGAGGCGGGTTGTTGGAAAGCAGGAGAATGGGGCGGGGTGATAGAAAGCGGGAAAATGGGGCAGGGCGATGGAAAGCGGGAGAATGGGGAGGGGTGATGGAAAGCGGGAAAATGGGGCGGGGTGATGAAAAACGGGAGAATGGGGCGGGGTGATGGAAAGCGGGAGAATGGGGCGGGGTGATGGAAAGCGGGAGAAGGGGGCGGGGTGATGGAAAGCGCGAGAAGGGGGCGGGGTGATTGAAAGCTTGAGAATGGGGCGGGGTGATGGAAAGCGGGAGAACGGGGCGGGGTGATGGAAAGCTTAAGAATGGGGCGGGGTGATGGAAAGCGGGAGAATGAGGCAGGGTGATGGAAAGCGGGAGAATGGGGCAGGGTGATGGAAAGCAGGAGAATGAAGCAAGGTGCTGGAAAGCGGGAGAATGAGGCAGGGTGATGGAAAGCATGAGAATGGGGCGGGTGGATGGAAAGCAGGAGAATGGGGCGGGGTGATGGAAGGGGAGAATGGGGCGGGGTGATGGAAAGCGGGGAATGGGGCGGGGTGATGGAAAGCGGGAGAATGGGGCGAGGTGATGGAAAGCGGGAGAATGGGGCGGGGTGATGGAAAGCAGGAGAAGGGGGCGGGGTGATGGAAAGCGGGAGAATGGGGTGGGGTGATGGAATGTGAAAGAAATGGGCGGGGTGATGGAAAGCGGAAGAATGGGGCGGGGTGATGGAAAGTGCGAGAATGGGGCACGGTGATGGAAAGCGGTAGAATGGGGCGGGGTGATGGGAAGCAGGAGAATGTGGCGGGTTGATGGAATGCAAGAGAATGGGGCGGGGTGATGGAAAGCGGGAGAACAGGGCGGGGTGATGGAAAGCGGGAGAATGGGGCGGGGTGATGGAAGGAGGGAGAATGGGGCGGGGTGATGGAAAGCGGGAGAATGGGGCGGGGTGATGGAAAGCGGGAGAATGGGCGAGGTGATGGAAAGCGGGAGAATGGGGCGGGGTGATGGAAAGCGGGAGAATGGGGCGGGGTGATGGAACGCGGGAGAATTGGGCGGGGTGATGGAAACTGAGAGAATGGAGCTTGCCTGGTCCTGGAGCGTGCCTGGTCCACGAGCGTGCCTGGTCTAGGAGCTTGCTTGGTCCAGGAGCTTGCCTGGCCTAGAAGCTTGCCTTGTCCAAGAGCTTGCCTGGTCCAAGAGCGTGCCTGGTCCATGAGCCTGCGTGGTCCTAGAGCTTGCCTGGTCGAGGAACGTGCCTGGTCCATGAGCGTGCTTGGTCCAGGATCTTGCCTGTTCCAGGAGCTTGCGTGGTCCAGGAGCTTGCCTGGTCCAGGAGCTTGCTTGGTCCAGGAGCTTGCCTGGTTCAGGAGCTTGCCTGGTCCAGGAGCTTGCTTGGTCCAGGAGCTTGCCTCCTTCAGGAGCTTGCTTGGTCCACAAGCCTTCATGGTCCAAGAGCTTGCCTGGTCCAGGAGCGTTCCTGGTCCAAGAGCTTGTGTGGTCCAGGAGCTTGCCTGGTCCTGTAGCTTGCCTGGTCCAGGAGCTTGCCTTGTCCATGAGCTTGCTTGGACCAGGTGCTTGCCTGGTCCAAGAGCTTGCGTGATCTAGGAGCTTGCTTGGTCCAGAAGCTTGCCTGGTCCAAGAGCTTGCCTGGTCTAGGAGCATGCGTGGTCCAAGAGCTTGCGTGGTGTAGGAGCTTGCCTGGTTCTGGAGCTTTCCTGGTCCTGGAGCGTGCCTGGTCCACGAGCGTGCCTGGTTCAGGAGCTTGCCTGGTCCAGGAGCTTGCGTAGTCCAGGAGCTTGCCTGGTCCAGGAGCGTGCCTGGTTCATGAGCCTGCCTGGTCCAAGAGCTTGCCTGGTCCAGGAGCGTGCCTGGTCCACGAGCGTGCCTCGTCCAGGAGCTTGCTCGGTCCAGGAGCTTGCCTGGTCCAGGAGCTTGCCTTGTCCAGGAGCGTGCCTGGTCCAGGAGTGTGCCTGGTCCAGGAGCTTGCTTGGTCCAGAAGCTTGCCTAGTCCAAGAGCTTGCCTGGTTCAGGAGCGTGCCTAGTCCTAGAGCTTGCCTGGTCTAGGAGCTTGCCTGGTCCAAGAGCGTGCTCGGTCTAGGAGTGTGCCTGGTCCAGGAGCTTGCTTGGTCCAGAAGCTTGCTTGGTCCAAGAGCTTGCCTGGTTGAGGAGCGTGCCTAGTGTCTCCGCATATGCACTTAATGCATATGCAATAACAGTAGAATGATGGTAAAGTGTGGGCGTCATACTAAGTCAATAGGAAGATGAGATAGGAATGAGAATATAAGTAATAGGTGTAGGATGTAGCGAAGTTACTGTTAGGAGCGAGGGTGTAGAAGGGGGGAAACAGGATAAGAGCGGTTGAGATAAAAAGGGGGAAAGACTCCGAAGGGCAAAATGTGAAACCAATGAACCCCAACCCCAAGCCGCACATTTGGAAATGTGCAGCCAGGGGTGGGGTAAGGTCCTTTCTCGTTGTTATTCTCTTACACTAGTGAATCTGATTGTCTCAGGCTCTAGCACACGACAGCATTCTAAGAGGGAACCTACGGGGTGAGAGACCAGCTTCTTTCATAACAATGAGAAAGGGACACGGGGGCTAGGACTGTAACTTCCTAGCACGAACGAGATGGATCGATACGAGCTGCGCTGGGGTAGGGCGTATAGCCGACGAGAGGAGGGGCGGGAGCGCCGAGAGCCGTCAGGAGAGTGTGGGCGATCCACGGAGCGATCGCCGCGCCGTCCCGCCTTCCGCGCCGATCGGGTCCCTGCTGTGAGGGACGGGCGAGCAGCAGATACGCGAGGGAATGACGAAGGACACGCCGAACTAGCGGATTGAAATGCGTGGCTCCAGGAGAGAGGACGCGGACCTGATGCGGAGGGCGGAAACCACCGCGGCGAAAAGGTGTTAGGCTCCACGGAGGAGCGCAGATGACGTCGCGACGAGAGAGGGCGGTGGTTGGCGTTCGGCGAGCGGTCTCGCGGACAAGGAGGGAGCGGCGGTAGCGTCGCTCGCGGAGAGAACTCGCCGCGCAATGCAGTTCGAGAAGAGACGCCGCAGCAGGGCGCGGAGGACGAGGAGGAAGAATCGGGACGGTTAGACGAGGAGGCAAGGATAGAAGGGGCGAATGAGGCGCGAATAGGAGGAACGGGCGGTGCGGAAACCGACCCGACGGAAGCGCAAGCGGAGACGAGCCCGGTGGCGGTCGCGGAATCAGAGGCCCCGCCGCCGGGATCGCGCGGTCGAGACAATCCCCACGAGGACGTGCGGCGCACGGAGAGCTCCGGACGGCAGGAGCTTGGCGGGCCATAGGCAAGCTCTTGGACCAGGCAAGCTCTTGGACAATGCACGCTCTTGGACCAGGCAAGCTCTTGGACCAGGCAGGCTTCTGGACCAAGCAAGCTCCTGGCCTAGGCACACTCCTGGACTAGGCACGCTCCTGGACAAGGCAAGCTCTTGGACCAGGCAAGCTCCTGGACCAGGCAAGCTCCTGGAACATGCAAGCTCCTGGACCAAGCAAGCTCCTGGACCAGGCAAGCTCTTGGACTAGGAAATCTCCTGGACCAGGCGAGCTCCTTGACCAGGCAAGCTAACGGACCAAGAAAGCTCCTGGACAAGGCAAGCTCCTGGACCAGGCAAGCTCTTGGACCAGGCAAGCTCCTGGACCAGGCAAGCTCATGGACCAGGGACGCTCCCGGACCAGGAAAGCTCCTAGACCAGGCAAGATCCTGGACCAGGCAAGCTCCTAATCCAGGCAAACTCGTGGATCAGGCACGCTCCTGGACCAGGCAAGCTCCTGGACCAGGCAAGCTCCTTGACCAAACAAGCTCCTGGACCAAGCACGCTCCTGGACCAGGCAAGCTCCTAGACCAGGCAAGCTCTTGGACTAGGCACGCTCCTAGACCAGGCAAGCTCCTGGACCAGGCACGCTCTTGGACCAGGCAGGCTTCTGGACCAAGCAAGCTCCTGGACCAGGCACACTCCTAGACCAGGCACGCTCCTGGACAAGGCAAGCTCCTGGACCAGGCAAGCTCCAGGACAAGAAAACTCCTGGATCAGGCACGCACGTGGACCAGGCACGCTCCTGGACCAGGCAAGCTCTTAGACCAGGCAGGTTCATGGACCAGGCACGCTCCTGGACCAGGCAAGCTCCTGGACCAGGCAAGCTCCTGGACCAGGCACGCTCTTGGACCAGGCACGCTCGTGGACTAGGAACGATCCTGGACCAGGCAAGCTCGTGGACCAGACAAGCTCTTGGACCAGGCACGCTCCTGGACCAGGCAAGCTCTTGGACTAGGCAAGCTTCTGGACCAAGGAAGCTCCTGGACCAGGCAAGCTCCTCGACCTGGCAAGCTCCTGGTCCAAGCAAGCTCCTGGACCAGGCAAGCTCCTGGACCAGGCAAGCTTCTGGACCACGCAAGGTCTTGGAACAGGCATGCTCGTGGACCAGGCAAGCTCTTGGACCAGGCACGCTTTTGGACCAAGCAAGCTCCTGGACCAGGCAACCTCCTGGACAAGGCAAGCTCCTAGACCAGGCAAGCTCCTGGACCAGGCAAGCTCCTGGACCAAGCAAGCTCCTGGACCAGGCACGCTCATGGACCACGCACGCTCCTCGACCAGGCAAGCTCTTGGACAAGGCAGGCTCGCGGACCAGGCAAGCTCCTAGACCAGGCAAGCTCCTGGACCAGGCAAGCTCCTGGACCAGGCAAGCTTGTGGACCAGGCACGCTCGTGGACCAGGCACGCTCCTGGACCAGGCAAGCTCTTGGACCAGGCACGCTCCTGGACCAGGCAAGCTCTTGGAGCAGGCACGCTTCTGGACGAAGCAAGCTCCTGGACCAGGTAAGCTCCTGGACCAGGCAAGCTCCAGGACCAGGCAAGCTCTTGGCCAGGCAAGCTCGTGTACCAGGCAAGCTCCTGGACCAGGCAAGCTCCTGGACCAAGCAAGCTCCTGGACCAGGAAAGCCCTTGGACCAGGCGAGCTCCTGGACCAGGCAAGCTTGTGGACTGGGCATGCTCCTGGACAAGGCAAGCTCCTGGACCAGGCAAGCTCCTCGACCACGCAAGTTCTTGGACCAGGCACGCTCCTGGACTAGGCAAGCTCTTGGACCAGGCAGGCTTCTCGACCATGCAAGCTCCTGGACCAGGCAAGCTCATGACAAGGCAAGCTCCTGGACTAGGCAAGGTCCTGGACCAGGCAAGCTCTTGGACAAGGCACACTCCTGGACCAGGCAAGCTCTTGGACCAGGCAGGCTTCTAGACCAAGCAAGCTCCTGGACCACGCACACTCCTGGACCAGGCACGCTCCTGGACAAGGCAAGCTCCAAGACCAGGCAAGCTGCTGGACCAGGCAAGCTCGTGGAACATGCAAGCTCCTGGACAAGGCAAGCTCCTAGACCAGGCAAGCTCTTGAACCAGGAAAGCTAGTGGACCAGGCAAGCTCCTTGACCAGGCAAGCTAACGCACCAAGAAAGCTCCTGGACAAGGCAAGCTCTGGACCAGGCAAGCTCTTGGACCAGGCAAGCTCCTGGACCAGGCAAGCTCCTGAACCAGGCACGCTCCTGGACCAGGCAAGCTCCTAGACCAGGCAAGCTTCTGGACCAGGCAAGCTCCTAAACCAGGCAAACTCGTGGACAAAGCACGCTCTTGGACCAGAAAAGCTCTTGGACCAGGCAAGCTGCTAGACCACGCAAGCTCTTGGACCAGGCAGGCTTCTGGACCAAGCAAGCTTTTGGACCAGGCAAGCTCCTGGACAAGGCAAGCTCCTGGACCAGGCAAGCTCCTGGACCAGGCAAGCTCCTGGACTACGCAAGCTCTTGGACCAGGCACGCTCCTAGACCAGGCAAGCTCCTGGACCAGGCAAGCTCCTAGACCAGGCAAGCTCCTGGACTAGGCAAGCTCTTGGACCAGGCACGCTCCTCGACCAGGCAAGCTCTTGGACCAGGCAGGCTTCTGGACCAAGCAAGCTCCTGGACCAGGCAAGCTCCTGGACAAGGCAAGCTCCTGGACCAGGCAAGCTCCTGGACTAGGCAAGCTCTTGGACCAGGAAAGCTCCTGGACCAGGCAAGCTCCTTGACCACGCAAGCTAACGGACCAAGAAAGCTCCTGGACAAGGCAAGCTCCTGGACCAGGCAAGCTCCTGGACCAGGCAAGCTCCTGGACCAGGCAAGCTCCTGGACCAGGCACGCACTTGGACCAGGCAAGCTCCTAGACCAGGCAAGCTTTTGAACCAGGCAAGCTCCTAAACCAGGCAAACTCGTGGACCAAGCACGCTCCTGGACCGGGCAAGCTCCTTGACCAGGCAAGGTCCTAGACCACGCAAGCTCTTGGACCAGGCAGGCTTCTGGACCAAGCAAGCTCCTGGACCAGGCAATCTCGTGGACGAGGCAAGCTTTTGGACCAGGCAAGCTCCTGGACCAAGCAAGCTTCTAGACCAGGCAAGCTCCTG